ATATATTAATTTAGAATAACATAAAATATTTAAAAATGAAAACTTTCAAAATAATGGCCAGCCAGGCAGCATGGTGTTAAGGTAGTCGGAGCCCACAGGGCTAACTACACAGTTTGAGTCCTGGATCTGGTGGCTTGAAAAACACGCATGGTACATAAGTCAGCATGCTGAAAACTCTGGGAGGATAATGGAGAAGGGATCTGGGTGTGACCATCCCTCCCTGGGGGGATGATTTCCCATCCCCTACCCCACAAGTGCACATGTCCTATAGCAAAACAAAACAAGAATCTCTTTTTGTCACTGGAAAATGTGCAAATACATTTTAATGTCTAGGGGACAGATTCTCAGGAATATGGGAATACGGACGCCACCATGTGGCATACACATGTATTCACAGGTTCCTATGTATGTCCGGTTGGCCAGGTGTGAATACGGGGTGCTGCCTGTGTTCCTCATCTAGTGTGGGCAAAAGAAAAAATTGCAGAAATGCAGGAGGAAGCACAGATGTAAACTGAAATCCTTTCAAAAAGGAATACTCTTGGGACCAGCCGATGGAGAAATGGTTACATCGCTGGACTCCCACACAGTCGACCACGGTTCGAGTACTGGCCCTGGTGATTTAGAACTCACTCCAGGTGTGTCTGGGTATGTGCCCAAAATCCTGCAAAGGAATGAAGAAAAAGGTACTGTGGCATGGCCATCCCCCTGGGGGGGTAATTTTTCACTTTCTGTCTCTCTGTTTCTCTGTCTCTCTGGCAAGCACACATGCCCTATTGCAAAAACCACTCTTCAAAATAAATAATTGCATAAATAAAATAAAAAGGGATATTCTTGCTATTCTTCTTTGAAACATATTTTTAATTGCCAAGGGGTGCATATGTTCACCAGGGAGAGGCAGAGTGACAGACAGACAGAGAGAGAGGGAGACAGAGAGGAAGAAAGCAGTCCCCAGTGGGGTGTGGTCATGCCATGATCTCTTCTCTATTTCTCTCTCCCTTTGGGAACTGAGGCATGCACACATGTCTGCTGTACTTTTTTAGCTGCTTGAAGGGACTGGAATTCAAACTGCAGTTGGCCATGTAGCTTCCTTAATCACCAGACCATGGGAATGGTTCTCTTAATATTCTTAACTGTGGAGGAATTCTCAGAAACAATAAAGGGATTTATGAAAAATACTCCAAAGTTATCCACATGTAGGCACCTCTTAAAGGTGCATATGGTCCATACACCTGAGCAAGCTTCCATGGCTAGGGTTCCTCTATCTAAAGCTCAATTTATTATACATTCCCATCAATTTAGAAGACATTACAGATGGCAGGCATAGATAAGATATTACTGACACCCATCCATGCTAGTCGTGCCTTGCTCCGTAAAGCAGGAAGACTCAAAATATCAGATAGCAAAGGAACCACACAAACGTAGCGTGTTTGCCACAATAGTTCAGACTCTCTCCTTACCCATTCACCTCTCCCAATGCTTTTTAATATTTCTTCAATTGCTTTTCTTCTGATCTTATATCACTGGCTCTGAACTACTGCCTAGGTCATGTCCTCTTATCTCAATTTTTGGACACTCATTCATCTTCTAAGTATTTATAACCAAATGTCCTCCCCGGATCCAAGCACCCAGTGGGATGAAAACTCTGCCATCATCACTGGAGGAGGCCCATTCCGTCCTCTCCCCTCAGTTCTACCTCACTGTTGGCCAGGAGACCAGGAGCTGGTCTCAAATCCCAGTTCACTAGAACAGTAGGAAGAGTTAGGGATTGGGCATTTGTCTTATGCTTTATGGAAGTGAATTCTCAACTCTGCACTTACAAGATCCAGAATCATTTTGAACTAAACTGAATTTCGTTGCATCATTATATGAAAACCATACAGGGCACTGTAATAAGGAATGAGAGACATGATTTATGACCCTCCACATAGAGGAGATTTAATTTTGTCTTTTGCTCACTGGCCTATCTGTTGTGTGCCCAAAGTCAATACCGATAATAAAATGTAGACTGAAGGGCTAAATCGATTCAATAAAATGCAATGGAAAGGCGGGGAGATTGAGTAAATTTAGAAAGGCTAGTGCTTGCAAGATTAGTATTTGGACAATAGGTAATTATAAAAATCAATACTTGTATATGAAAACATGACAGGCAGCCATCCATCACAAAGGGAGAACCAATTGCTAATAGTTTGGGCCCCAAGTTAGGACAAGAGAACGAAATAGACTGGGGTAGAATTCTTACCCAAGTTTACACCTCTGTCCGTGTGTGTGTGAGTGTGTGTGTGCACATGCATGCCTGTCTGTGATTGAAAGGGAGAGAAAAGGGAAACAGCTTCTCACTCTCCATTTTGCCTGCACTTTTCCTGTTCCTCTTGCTGACACGTAACTAAGGCTGAGCTCATTTTGTTACTTTACTAGCAGGGCATGCCCTTAGTCCCACGCCTCCTTCCCTTCCTTCTCATCCCAGCCTCGGAGGTGCCAGGGGGACATATCAAGGCCTTGGTAGTATCTGGAACTTTTAGAGAAACCTTCAAAGGAGCAGGCATGCCATGGATAACATGAACCAGTGCTCTTGTGTCAGCAGCTGCAGGAAGCTCCAGACAGCGAGAGGTGATATAGACAACCTGGAGAGCACCCACAGCGAAATATGAACATAAACATTCAACATACAGACACTTGCATAAAATAAAACGGTGGCTTTGGAGTCTTAACAATATCTCTTGACAAAAAGAATGTGGGTGAATGAATACTGGGTTGATGGGAAACTCATGTCACATTTTTGCATAGAAAAACAGAAAAATATGTCATGACTTTTCCGGCAACCTATTATTTTACTATTAAGCAGTTGCATACGTTAAGTCATTTCTTCCTTACAAGATTCTACAATGAAGGCATTAGTATCTCTAGTTTAAAGATAAGACAAGAGGCTGCAGAGGACAGTCAGTTTATTCCAGGTGACAGAGCTGCAGAGCAGGATACTGGGCATTACAGCTCTATCTGTCTGACATGACATATGTGCTTGTTGGTCCTTTGTTGCATAGCCTCCGTCTACGACAGTGCATGATGGGTAACTCTACCTGGCCACAAGTGAGTCTAGAGCTGGCCACCAGGGGGCATCACTACTGGGAAGCCTCAAGGTTAGTCTGTGGAGCCTGCTTACAGTCGGTTGTAACAGCAGACTCACTTCCCTGAGCCGTAATTCCGAACCGCCTTACAGAGTAACTCCTGGTAATACAGTCTGATCCCATTTTCTGATGTTGAATTCTGACAGCCATCAAGCCTCAGCCCTCCCTCTGCCCCTCTGCCCGACATCTGAGCAAACTGATAGGAAAGCTTCCCCCTTTGAACCAGCAAGAGGTTCTAACCACATAAGGCCCTGTCCACCTGTGAGAACCCAAGCCCTAACCACCATACATAGCCCAGGCCAGTCTCCCTTCCTGAAGCTCTCGAGCCATTTCTGGATGTGCTTGAGAGCCACACTGCTCGCCCTGGAAGACCTCATCATGCAAGCAGATGCCTTTCACACCATCTTGGTGGATGAGGGGTGTCAGCAGCCTTAGCATCAGAAGCCAGTTTGGGATGGTGTCCATTCCACTATCTGAGGTACACCACAAAACTTCTGAATCAACTTCATGTCAACATTAGGGGAAAATGCTTTCATGACCTTTAGAGAAAACTTCAAAGTGATAATCTAATCCCCTAATCTCCTAATAAGGATTTTCACATGACTATTTTGTTCTCCATTAAACATAGGGAATGACTAAGCTAACACTCCTTCGGGAGAGAAGCCATATAACTTTAATGCGTGTTTAGGTCATTTCAGTAGTTGGCATTTTTTGGTGTGTTTGGAATTTATTTTAGATAGACAATATTCTTTTATATCTAAACTTCGGTACTACTCACATTTGGGCTCAGTAATTCACATTGCCCTGTGTCTCATAGGATAGACTACCCTCTAGATCTCAGTGGCACCATGACCCTCTCTAGCTACAACAACCAAAATGTCTCCAGATGCCAACTGTCCCTCAGGGTTGAGAACCACTGCTCTATATTCATTTCTCAAAGAATAAGACTTTTCTGATAAGAAGGAGTACAGACCAAATGCTTTGTAGCCTCAGGAGAAGAGTATAGAAAGAAAACCTGCCAGGCCATCTACATCCTAATGGAAGCAAGCAAAATCTATAATGAATTGCAATTATATCCTCAATTCTCCTTTTTCCACTCTTAAACTAATTTAGACTCATCCTCAAAATCGCATACATGCTATGAAGATGAGTCACTACAGTTTATAAAATCTCTTTTAAAAATTTGATTGCTCAGTGACTTGCATGCAAGTGTTGGTCTCTTATCTAAAAAAATCAGAGTTAGCAGAGGTGACCACTGCGATTTTCCAGAAATATCACACAACACATGGTATGCACTTCCAAATATTCCAAAAATTCTAGCACAGGGCATGTTAACAATTGCCTTCAATAAATACAGATGATAGCCTCTTTAATGGGACACATATATCCATACCATATCTACTGCCACCTTAGTAAATGGCTCAAAATACTTGGTAATAACACAAAGTCAGTTTATGGTCCAAAGTCTCCATCTGATCAATGAGTTTTCAAGGAGAGACAGGCCAGGGGCATATACTGACTATGGTCATTTTGTTGTAATTTGAGGACAAAACGGATGCTTTGTCTAAGATGTAGGGGGAGAGTTGATTCCCGGCACTGTCAGTGGAAAGAGGAAGACAAATCCCACCCAAGTACAGCACTTGCCACCCCAGCTTCTGCTGAGACCAGCATGTATCATTGGTCCTCTATTCTTCAGTATTTAAATATCAAAACAAATGCATAGGCATGCCAATAAATTAGATTAAAAGTGCTATGTTTCAGTCTTAAATAGAGATCTACGTTTTGAAAACATAACTTTAGTTTTCACATTTCTTTTCCCCTTCAACGCTACTCTAAAAATTCTAAGTGCTAGTAAATCCTTCACCCAGGAGCACTTACCTCAGCTTTAATTTTATTGTCTCCAAAACAGAGGTGCTGTAAATAGGCTGCAGCATTAGACTGGACCGAAGGAAACTGATGTTGCAACATCTGAATTACTTCAGGCAGCTCTGGGTCTCTCCAGCCAAACTCTCTGGACAAAAGGAAGACGAAAGGACATGAGAGAGAAGTCCTGCTACACTGTCCATATTCAGTGAACTCTTTTATGAAACACACTTCACAGTCTACAAGGGAATACTTCTCAAATGATGGCTCTGGTGTTCTTATCCATGGACCCGCTTAAAAGAGGATTTTGAAAAGATTTCCTTGAGTAAATAGCCTTAAAGCATATACATGCATACACACACACACACACACACACACACACACACACATATATATGCACTTATATGTGTTGATTATATCCATAAATAACTTTAAACATATCAAATAAACTTACATGCTCATAAACATTATTAAAAACTTAAAATAGCACATGATTTTATTATTGTACATATTTTCCACTTGGGCTTAAAATGATAATGTGTAGAGGTTTTCCTAATTTTCTATATATTTCTAATATATTATTTCAACAGTCTGTTCCAGGTACAGCATTTAGCCACATTCTCAGACGGGAGAATATATAACTCGACAGGTCCAGTCAAAATGAGAGAGCAAGTGATGATGTTATCATTGTTACTTTTAATATTGTTGCTCTTATCACAATCTCTTCTTTAAAAATAGACATAGTCTCTAAACGATTCTCTGGAGAGTTCGTAGCAATTAAAAGACTTCATAAAAGGGAATTATTTATTTAAGGAGCTCAGCGTATGCATAGAATGTTAATAAATTGTATGCACTGTACATTCTTTTCCTGTATCCTCCTTTTTATATCTTTTTATGTATTCCAAGAAGCTGGGAAAAGATTTCCTTGAGTAAAAAGACTTAAAGCATATACATGCATACACACACACACACACACACACACACACACACACACATATATATGCACTTATATGTGTTGATTATATCCATAAATAACTTTAAACATATCAAATAAACTTACATGCTCATAAACATTATTAAAAACTTAAAATAGCACATGATTTTATTATTGTACATATTTTCCACTTGGGCTTAAAATGATAATGTGTAGAGGTTTTCCTAATTTTCTATATATTTCTAATATATTATTTCAACAGTCTGTTCCAGGTACAGCATTTAGCCACATTCTCAGACGGGAGAATATATAACTCGACAGGTCCAGTCAAAATGAGAGAGCAAGTGATGATGTTATCATGGTTACTTTTAATATTGTTGCTCTTATCACAATCTCTTCTTTAAAAATAGACATAGTCTCTAAACGATTCTCTGGAGAGTTCTTAGAAATTAAAAGACTTCATAAAAGGGAATTATTTATTTAAGGAGCTCAGCGTATGCATAGAATGTTAATAAATTGTATGCACTGTACATTCTTTTCCTGTATCCTCCTTTTTATATCTTTTTATGTATTCCAAGAAGCTGGTTGTCTACTTAATCTTAAGCAATATGTGCTAAAATATTTAAGTTCATTATAAGACAGAAGCTTGACTGTACCATGATGTAAATAACTATTCTTCCATAAAATCACTCAGCTCCATCAGTTAGACCATGGGGCAATAACAGGACCAGCCGTATGGATTCCACTTCCGTAGCAGGGAGCCAATTTTTAACAGAGAAATAAAAAAAGCAACCTCTGAGACCTCAGATAAAAACTTGACCCCACCAGCCACAAAAGGGTACTATTTATCCAAAGGGTAGTCTAGAAGAGAAATGAGACAGCCTTGCAGCATCCACTCTCTGCTTCTCGTGAAGCAGCATTCTATTGATGTCAGGTCAGTCCTGTCATCTGGGAAGCAGAGTCATAAAAAATGGGACAGAGAAGGAACAGACAAAGGTTACAAGTTTCCTCATAGAGTCTAACCTATTCTCTTCATCTGTCCTTTATCACAACTGGTCGAGGTTGTCAAGCAAACCTCAAATGTGTTGGTGCTTCCTTTACAGAAGACACTGCAGAATAGGATACCGTGGAAATGAGATCGTTTCTATGGAAAAGAAAAGAAACTATTGAAATCTTCTTAGCTATGTAATCACAATAGAAAACAATTACGAATTAAAAAACAGGAAGTCTATTTTCCTTTCTAATTTATTTTCTTTTGTTGCTTGTTTCTAAATCACTTCTACAACCTTGAGCTGGCACAGACCTTCTTTTAAGAGTAGCCCTCTAGAATTCCATTCCTTAGACAAATTAAATAGATCTACAGAATACCTGCAAATCAAAATTAGAACTGTCATGTAAAGACACTAGATGGCTATGATGAATTCAAGTAAGCCCATGCTTTTGGAAAGTGATTAGTAAAGAATTCGTTTCAATCTATTTAATTAACCAGACGGTAATTGCTCTATTAGGCAATGGCTTATGCGGCATAAAGGAAGAGAGCCTTTTGAACAAGTGCTCTTGGGGAACTATCTTAGGGGTTGTGCACAAGTGCATGAACATACACACGTGCATGTGCACATCCATGCACACACACACACACACACACACACACACACACACACAGAACTCAGATGGGACAGATGGACATTCCAAAGAATTTCTAGCCTAACCAAGCTCCTGACTCTCAGGTCAAAAGAAAGGCTGTTGCCAGACACCAACACCGCTACCACTGCCCCCCGCCCCCAATAAAAAAAAAACCTCTGGAATTCCAAACTGCCCTTCTTCCATCTCCAGTAAGGCCCCCCAGGCCTTTTGCTTCTGATCATGCCAGTTACCTCCCACTTAAGTCATCTCACCATGCAGACATACAGATCTGATGGTGCCACTATCCCCTCCTAGCCCTTCCGTGGCTCCCACTGTCCTCAGAAGAAAGACCAGGATGTTCCTGTTCCCATGGCCTTGCTGGATCTGCCCATTCCTGCCCGTGTCATCCTGCTTTCCCAGGCTCTATGCACTAGCACTGCCCCCTCCCGTCTCTGTTCCTGCTGTCTGGACTCCTTCAAACTTGGGGCCGTGGACTTTCCATGAATTTTTAAGGAAACTGCTGGCCAACCCTGATCCAGGCAGTGCGAGGCAACAGTGCAGTTATGCTGTGGGCCATGAGAGATTACCATCTGTCCTTCCGCCCTGTGGTAAGTTCTGTGATCCCAGGGCTTCAGCTCTTTTGGTCACATTTGTTATTCAGCACATACAACATTCCCTGGCACACAATGGACACTACATAAATGAAAGCACGGAGGAATGAGTGAAGGAAGCTCTAGGCAGGGACAGTGTTTCCACAATTCTACTGGTGACTCTAGGAAAGGCAAGGGTTGTTGTCATTCTTACCAATTCCTACGATGCCCAGCACACGCACCCACACACATGCGTACACATGCATGTACACGCACATGTGCTGAGTCATTCTTCACACCTGCCAACCTGAGCAGTCTTCTCTGTGCATTCATCAGATCTTATAACTCTATGTCTTGAATCTCCAAGTGTCTTCCCACTGCCCTGAGATATTATCCTGCTCTTCAACCCTGTGACTCTGTGCACATGTCTGAGGCTTCTCTCACTGGCCTCCTTGTTCAGCTACTGCCTCGGCAAGACAGTTATCCTGTCCTGTAATGTTGGAGGGGGCTCTCTCTTGTCTTGACTAGGTCTCAGCTCCAAAGATTCCAAGGCAGCTTTGCTGAAGCTTCTAGTCAAGGAAGCCCCACACTCTAGTCATCCCTTTGTCCTATTAATCCACAATACTGATGGCTATGTGGGGTTCTCCTCTGTTGTCTTTATTATTATTTACTGTCTCCTGCCTCCTTCCATCATCCCCAGGAGGTCAAGGGCTTTCCTGCAGCACGGAAGGATATCTAAAGTCCCCCAGTGCACACCCAATTGTCAGCTGACCTAGTAAAGAACCCTGAGGATGAAATGAAGGTGAGACATTCATATTCATGTGAAGGGGCTTCCTGAGACTGAATGAAAGGGACTGAAGGAGAAAGAGTTGAAATCATGAAGCAGAATAAGATAGAAGGCAAAAGTAAGTTAGTATTTGAGTAGTATTACATAAATACAAATAATCATTATGGATCCATTCATGAACCAAGGAAAAAAGTTAGAGTGCTCAAAATGAGTGAATTGCCCCTCAGTTTACAGCTGCCTTCCAGGAGCAGGGTGGAGCTGACTGTGGCCCCAGATACCTTACTCCAGCTGATTCTGAGGGATGCAGGTTACACCCTTGGAGAGATTCTAATGCACTCAACTTCTCTCCTCTATCTCACAAAAGAGATGCCGAAGTAACACCCTCCAACAGAATGTCAGGGGGAATGATTTACACCTGTCCCTTGTTCTAGAATGCTATTCTTTTACCTAGATGAGAGGTTATTTGGGCTGACCATGGAGATATAATCCAGAGAAACAGCTGGAGAGCTGGAGTAGATAACCTGTATTGCTCATTTTGGCTAGAATTCACTCTCTCTTCACACACGCGCGTGCGCGC